GATTTATGTTTTAATTAGGTTTTTCTTTATTTTTGGGCTGCTGTAAAAGCCTAGCTATAGGGTAAGAATAGACGGGGGGTGTCTTATTTAAGCATGAGAAACAACTCCTTAGGGGGGACGTAAAGACTAGGAGAAATTGGAGACGCCGGAAGAGTACCACCATTGGCTAAGTTTTACTGTTTCTTCCTTATGTTTTTGTTTATGTCGAATTCAAAGATTATGTGTAACTAATTTTCTTTGCTATGGCATGATGTAGCCCTAGTATGATAATCTAGTTTTCTTATTTTACCTATCTATTGATTGTCGTTTGATGTTGGATTCTTAATCACTGTGCTTAATAACTTGGTTGATTATCTTGATGCTTGATCATCATCTAGACTTTTAATTGAGTTAATCGGATGCAAATTAGAGTAAATACCATACTTAATTTGAGGCTTGCTTCTTGTGATTAGGATTTGTAATTCATCTAGGGTAATTACCATACTCCCAAGGTTTACATGCTTGTTCGAGGTTTTCACTGATCTTAATGAGTTTCTACGTGTTGATATTTGACCTAAATACCATAGGCGAATTGCTTGTAGGAATATACGAGTTAGCCTAAATACCATAGGTAATTCATGAAAAAGGAAAACTAAGCGACGACATCAAATGGTTAGTAAATAGGTAGGTGAATAAGAGGCTAGATCGGATTACTAGTGGTGAATTCATTGTCCTAGTGCTTTTATCAATTTGAATTTCTCATCCTTGTGTTTCGTGAGTTTCTACTTATTTTGTCTTTTAATTTCGTTGTTAATTAAATCATTCTTTCAAAAACCCCTTTTGTGTTTACGTGAGTATGCTACAGGTTTAATTTCTTGTTTGTATAATTAGAGTAGTTAAAGTATTTTGCGAAGGAAATTAGGTTAGACTAATTGGAAGTTGAACTCAATCCTCGGCGGAATGATGTAAGATCCCACATCGACCAACGGAGAGTTGATGTGTCTTATATGTACATGCCCGCATCCATCTAGCAAGAGGCCTTTTGGGAGCTCACTGGCTTCGGAGTCATGGAAACTCCGAAGTTAAGCGAGTTGGGGGCTAGAGCAATCCCAGGATGGGTGACCCACTGGGAAGTTGGTAGTGAGCTCCCAGAAAC